GTCTGAAAAAACTACGCGAACACAATTCTTGGCTACCCAAATAAATGTCTGTGATATTTATCTTCTTTTTAATTTCAAAATGTTCAAAATCCTAGCTTGAGCCAAAAAATTACAGTTCTTAATCCAAAATAATTCTTATCACATATCTTGCTCTAACCATGATTCAACAGGCTTGGCGGCTGGAAGGCGGGCTTTGTTATCTAATTAAGGCCGTTCGCGTCAGCGACGCAGAGAGCAAGTGCGCGGGAGAGTCTGCGTCTCTATCGCGCGCTTGCTCTCTGATCATTACTCAGCCTTAATTAGGTCAGGAAGCCCCGCCTTCCAACCGCCAAACCAGTTGAATCAAAGAGCTCTTTTACCTCAGCTTGCAAGAAATCAGCGGTAGATCACAAAATAAATAGCTTCATCCTCAGCGAGCTTCCTGAGTCCCTATTCCAAGCATTATCAATTGACCGGAGATTCACGTTCCCACGCAACTAAGCTTCTGAACATTTTACTTGATACATGCTTCTTTGATATTGATGGGTTTGAATCATTTAATCCCACAATCAGCCATATATATTACTGACAAATTTGATAAATATCAAAAATCGCTCTCACAAATCCTGTTAGTGAAGCCTCTCAATCGACTTTTTGCTTTACCTGCAATTCCTTTGCTTAGTTGTTATTCTTATTCTAGCCAATTCACTAATTCGTATAACGTAAAAAAATGCTAAATTCTTTCCTCTTGAGATTTGGTTACTGCTGTCGAATTTTGTAGCGCAGGACTTTATATGCTGGATTAAATTTATTTATGTATTTCCATTAAAATGCCAAAATCTGCACCCAAACATGCTGATTTATCAAGTTCAAATATCCGAAATCCATTCAACGTTGTGAGGTCTTTGTTAAAGGTGATTCAACATAATTTCTTCTTCTTGGATACAGTCCTTTCTCAGTGCGCCCATAAAGCTTAAAGTTGGAGGATGTTTCGAAGTAAGGAATGGGTGATTCAATGATTTGTTTTGATCTATCTGATTGAGTAGCGCTCGACTAAGACTGGGACTTTGCTATAATTGTATGAAATGAAATCCGTGCAATCCCTGTTTTTTCCTTTAAAACGACATCCCGATTTGTCCCCACTGTCTGGTTCTGGGTCCTCTAAACCGCCACTTTTCTCAGGATGGCGTAACATTTGTGCCAATTGAAATGTTCAAAACGCTCAACAACCACTCTTTAGAAGCCCTTATGGCCCCTCATTGATAGCATTTGTCCTTAAGAGAGCTTCGTTTTTGCGCAATTCGTGTTCTTGACATTTACATAATGAAAAAACATTGGCGGTCCGCATTTGCAAACATCACGCTAGCGCACGACTTACGACAAGATTAAGATTGTGACATTCTTGGGCTCGAGAAAGTCGGAGATTCGTTTAGAGCAGCCTTAAATGAATATCCAAACAGGAGCTAAAGATAGTGCTAAGGTCTTGTTTATAATTATTATAATTTTATTCTGATGTATTTTGTGCCGGACATTTTATGTTATTATGTGTTTAAGTCTAAATAGTGTAGTAGTTCCAACGACAATACAGTGCCGCTGCAGTGTCGACAACATTTGCGCGTATAAACCGGCCATAACGCGCAAAACTTGAAAATTACCGTTTCATGACGCTACGTACAGTAATCTACCGGATTATGCATTCATTCTACTGACTTAATGTTGAAATTTTTGCCAAAAATGAGGGTATCAAAAATTCCCACCCTACCCTTTTAACTTTTATGCACCTCTTACTTGTAGCCATAGTACTCATCATGCATTTATGTCCCGTCCCTCGTAGAAAATTGATGGCCGGATATGCAATCAATTTCGAAGCAACTGCAATTCGCTCCTTGGTTGCCATAAATAGATTTGAAACTATATTTAACCATATGGGACCCGAAGTGCAAATTGTAAGGGCAGTGTACCAAGTATGAAAATGTGTTTGTTGTTACAATACTATCCAAGCAACTTACATAGAGCTGTAGATAGTTTATATGACTTCCAAAATGTTTGAAATCAAAGCTCTCATTAATCCTTTTTGATGGATTCATTTTGGTCACAGCTAAAAAACAACAGAACCCTTTAATAATCTCAGAAATCTTGCAGAAATGTCATGAAAAGTATTCATATTCATATATTTGATATTCATTATTTTTACAATATTGTTTGGGAGAAGGTTCGAGTCGATATTAATGCAAAACGTGAGCACCATGTTAACACATTGACGACAAGGCCGATTTTTCGATTACTGCCATTTCGGACAGGAGCCTTTTTTGCTCTGCCAAACTTACGACCCACCCGTGGGTCGTATTGTCCGAAATGGTAGTCTTTTTGGAAGAATTCTGAACATGTCTCCGAGAATTTCCCCACAAGGGTTATCGAACGCGCTGATTACCAAAATATGATTTATTTCAGTTTTTGGCGTTATACGGTAAGGTTACGGTAGTCAATCCTGTACGAACCCAACATCATGGATTTTGAAAATTTGTGTATTGGGGTTATTTCGCCTGCTGATCACGACTATAGTGTCCATTTGTTCACTACATTCTCACGGTGAGACTACGGTAGCAGTACGGTAGAATTTTCGTAGAAATCAAGAAACTGATGTTAGAAGGTGGTATCAAAGCTTGAGACTATCATTTTCGTAAACAGCATGCTACAAAACCTATATATGCAAAGTTCGAGCTTCCTAGGGTGAAAAATGCAAAAAATCAATAAAATCAACAAAATCGATAATTTTTGGTGGGTTAACGTCAGCCTCTTGCCCGCCCCGTATTACTCTTACATGTAAACTTGATTCTCCAGAAACAGCATCATTTTGCGAAGAATTTGAGCTAAAGCTTGTACGTTATATATATCTACCGTATACCAACCGTAACATTACATTACTGTATCCCGAGCCCGGATCACTCTGGCTGGAACTTCACCTAAGCGCCCCAATCATGTGCCAGAACCCCGTAAAATTCCGTCCTGAACTGGCAAAGAAAGCGCTTCATGAATCTTACGACCCACCGGTGTCGTATTGCCCGAAATGGCAGGGCACGTACGACCCACCGGTGGGTCGTATTGTCGTCTATGTCTTAACACAATATTTCCCTTAAATTGTTCGTTTAAAAATTACTGAGAGGAGAAACTAATGCTTTTAGATTGTCCCTTACATTAGTAAGAATAAGAATGCAGTTGGGAACACTTTCTTTTCTGGATTAATGTTGTTCTCACATAAAGATTCTGCAGTTTATTGACACAGAAACATGGTCGTGAATGTCAATGCGAGAATAGAAAGCGAATTTCGAAATGCTTTTTAGAGAATCAACTTTAAGACTTCTCGATCTTTCTAGTTATATGCTAATTTTGCAACAACAAAGATCTGACTTCTGCCCGCAATTTGCTATGTACAGAATAGAAAAGAAAACACCTCTATTAACCAGATTTTTTGCTCTCAAAGGATGTAACTGCCATTTTTTCGACGATGTTCAATCAATAAAACTTGAAGTTTAGCCTACCTTTGAGATTTCGCTTGCCTCTTAATATGACAATCTTACAGGGTTTGGTTTTGTAGAAACGCCATCTTATCGAATGTTGCCTAACGATAAAGAAAATACTGTCAAAAGAATAAAAGTTGAACAATGGGCAGGTTTTAACTTTTGAGTAAAAAAATTGTTGAAAGATCTTAGGGACAAATTGTGGTTGAGAAACAATTTTTGGCTAGTTTTTGCTAGTACCATTCTCCGTTTACCAATCGTAAAAAAAATTTCGGGGCGTGGTGGCAGCCACGCCCACTTTTTCTGGAATTTCGGTGTAGTAGGCCCGCAAAAACTTTCAGAGGCATCCCAACAAATTTTATGGAGTGCGTGGCTAACGCCACCCAGCTTTATCCGCAATAAATTCTTATCGCCTTCCCCCGAACGGAAATTCTGGGACCGCCTCTGCCCTATACGTATAGGCTATCTCACTCGCAGTGTCGGGTGCACCAGCAACTAGGATCACGCGTCGCCTCGCCTGGACCCTGCACCGCTTTGCGAACGTATCGCCTGAACATTCGTATCCTCTCAGATTAACGTAACGTCTCGATTCAAGCTTTATTCGTCAATTAAGTGAGGAAAAATGGTCAGAGAACATGTTTGCGAATGCGGTGCAAGCTCAAGCGAGGAGGCAGCGCGAGATTTGAGCCGCTGGTGCACCGACACTCCAATTGAAATAACCTGTATATGATACCCTGCACTGTATCATAAACCACATCACCTATCTAATCTATCTAATATATAAAGAAGCGTAATAGAAGCGTAAGCGCTATTCAAAAATCTGCGAGAAATAGCGAGAAACCGCGTGGCGGTCCCAAAGAGCTCAGATGCAATCTGGCAACTTTAATTACTGGTTCACTAGTACAAAGAAAATGAAATTGTATATAAAGCTTTAGCCCCCTTAGAGGTGATTGCACCCAACAGTAAAAGAGCTTTGGACTGATCGATAAAAAAAACTTTGTTGAAAAAAACCGCAAATTTTTTTCCTGCCAAATTGACTTTTTATTGAGTTTGTATCCTGCGGCAAGCCGATAGCTTTATGGACTAAAACCTCTTTCGTAAATTTTGGTCACTTATAATTAGGTACCTACAAATATCTGCCTATTCATGTCGGTTGAATTTCCCGTTTGCAAATTTTGACAAAATTTGTTGACAGATTTCATTCACCAAACATAGTTTGAACGCGATAAAAATAACGACATGAAATAATACAATAAATAATCATAACGGTGAGCTTTACCTGCTACCTTCCCTGCTTTTCTCAGACGCTTTATTTCCACATTCTCCTGGAATTTTTATTTTTCACATCGTATTCTTCCCCCCCCCCCCTCCCCGCCATGGCAGCATCCAGAATTCGAAATTCACGTCGTCGTCGGAATCTTTCACTGCCGGCCACATTGATTGCCAACAGGCAATAAGCTTTGACGTGAATGTGTGTTACTGTCATTTCTGCTAAAACTATGTAGCTCCGACCCAAATGTGCTGCCAACCGCGGTTTTGCCGCGTTATCACCCTGCTCTGGAATTATACCAGCAAGTTTTATTTCACTTTTCTCGGTTATTCGAACTTTTAGTCGTCTAAATCACAAAAATGCATAGTCTTTTCTTAGTTTATGAACCATTTTCTATTCAGAGAAGTGGACGTTGGCTTCGATGAGCATATTCAAGTGTTCCAATCTATGTTTTACCAAATTCGACGATATCAAGGAGAAACCAGCTGAAATCAACAATAATGAGTAAGTAAAGGGTCACATTTCTTTTTTTTTACCCTATGGTGGGTTGGCATGTTTTTTACCTTAACAGGATGGACTCTATAACCCTAAAAACTGGACTTTTGTTTCGTGGACTGTTGTTTCTTGAACTTGGTTTAGGAATACCCATTCCTGAAATTTTCCGAGCCATTTTCTGCAATTTCACCGTTTTTGGTTGACTTTTTCTGTAAATTCTACCCCTCATCGGAACTTTTCCATCAATTCTGCATTCTTCATCTATTGTTTTGTTTTTTTTCCTGCCAAAAAGTCTTTATCCTCTTTACTTATTCATTCCCAGCTACTTCATCAGCTTTTGCCCACGATGACCGTTAAAGCCTTTCTTTGCTCCTTTGGCTCACATTCATACTGTAGAATCACGGTAGAAAGTTGAGTTTCTCAACCTTCTTCCATAAAAACTTTGGAGAATCTCATTAAAAATCATATTCCTACCATTTATTTGGAATTCATCCAGCAGCATCATCTCTTTCTTAAAAACTATATCAACTGTCCTAAACTTTATTTCGATTATGCGCTATTATTGCTAAGAGGCACATTTTGGGAACTTCTAATCTGAAATTTTTATGCCCCTTAGGGTGGTCTTCCTTGACCAAGTACAGGAGAGCCAACCTCTGGCCCATAGATTTGTCTGATATATTCTGTTTGGCGATTGTTCAAAATGTGCTAAGCGTTCAGCCCAAAAAAAATTGTAACCATCCATTAGGAGAGGAATGAATATTATATTAATGGACCGTTTCCTGTTTTAATCAATGTAAGAAAATTCAAATTCATCAATCTCATTGTCAGAAATGAAATGTGAAAGTGTACATAAGTAATGTTTGTAGAAGATGCCCTTTACGGATGCATAAACTTCAGCTCTAACTTTTATTCCCATCAGGATGGCATTGGGTAGAAGCACATCTTAAACAAAGAGATACCAGCCTCAGACAGCCATTTTCAACGAACACGCCAATAAATCTTTTTTATTCGTGGTGACAGACCTAGTCATCCTAAATTTTGCTGACTGATAGATGATTTCATTTTTCTAATTTGTAATGTGTACAGAAGCCTTCGCACTTTATTTTCACTAATCTTCAAACAAGAACTTCCAACTTGGGAAGCTTCTGCTGCTATTTCGTAAGATGCTTATACAACGGCAATTTACTATTTTCTTCGTCAATCGAAATCAACTGTCAGGTCAAAATTTCCAAGTACTATTTGGTACGATTTATTCTGATTAAGTTCTAGAAAGTCCATTAGAAATTATGCTGCGGTAACTTTGAAGTAGTAACAAGAAGACAATTGTTTTCAAATGACTATATGTTCAAAATACGAGACATTAAGAAGGAGTTACCCTAGAAAGCTAGACTAGACGACTTTCTATAAATTTTAAGATGGGACTGGAAGTCAGAATTTTCATACGCTTATTTTGGATGATCCTCTGAAAAATCTTTGGAAAGATATCCTCCAAAAAAATCTGTAGTTCCTTAAGCATAGTGCACTAATCCAGAATTAGATACTACTTTTTTTCGCAATGTATATCGCTATCGTTACTAATTTCAACTATCATGCAATAAAATCTCATTATAAATGTCACTCAGTGTGAAAATGTCAACATGATATGCTGTGCACCTCGTGCAGCAATAAATCGAATTTTTACAACAAAAAAAGCATCTTTATCTGATAGCAATTGATTACTCTTAATATGAATGGAACACTCGATCGACTCAAGATTTTTCACGAAAATCATCTCAGCCTTTTTCAAGGCTATATATTCTCAAGACATCTATGTTTCCATACTAAACTCCATTTCTTGACTCCCCATCTCGTCTACACCTTCATTAAAATTATCGAATGGCGTTCTCTATCGATTCCATCTGTCAAAAAACTCTTTGGTTTTTCTACTCTCTGACGTCACAATCGGTTCGAAAAAATCCGCAGTTGATATTCATTTTGCTTAGCCGGCAGCCAAATGAGCTAAAGTCGAGTTTTTTGTCATCTAATATGCGTATTGCACACTACGCGCGTTGCTTGACGACTTGTAAGACCTGTAGCCTGCCCAATTCTAGTGATTTCTCCTTGTTTTGTCACTTTTTTTTGAATACATATTAGTTAGCAGGAAACATTTCTATTCGTTACTCTCAAAAAGGTTCTGACAAGGAGTTTCGCGTAAGGGTGTCGTCGATTGTAGTGCATAGTGTGCAGACTCACATATTGAGTTATAGGCTGCTGCATGACGAAGGCGCAACACCTTTAGGCGCAAACGCGGTTTCCATTAGCCGCAGAGCGCATGAGGCGCAGCGTTTATAACGGTGAAGATACGCGCGCGCAGCGTTCGCGACCGTTCAACTAATACTGCTCCTGCGCCTTCATCATGCAGCAGCCTTTAGAAACAATTTGTGCTTAATAAACCGCCCATGTATGTATGTTTAGTAGTGGCCTTTTTGGTCGAGATGTATACGATATTGAAGAGCATAAAACGCTGCTAGAAAATCTGCCTTGCTTATCTGCAGAATTTTGTAGGAAGAGTTATGAACGTTTATTGGAGCAAAAAATATGCATTTAGGATGACCTGAGTTGCTAAAATCTTACTAGCTCTTGAATAAAGCAACCAAGTGTGATACAATTTTAATCTCAATTGGTTATTGAATAATGTGCCCTGATAATTATTACTGCTCCGATTCGAAGTGCTAGAAAAAATACCACGACTATTTTATTCCTGCTGGCATATTCAATTTTTTGCCCTAAGAAGCGCTCATAACTCCTGCACGTAAACTAGGAAGACAGATTCGACATTAGCGATTTATGTACTCCAATGTGCATCTAGAAAGGTCATTCCATTAAGTGTGTTTCCTTTGTAGGTCCGCGTCAATTCTCACGGGACTGCTCTTATTCAAAGTAGCATCCAGGCCGATTTAGAGCTCCCATGCTACGTAGTTTAAACTTACAATTTTGCTTATGTTCTGTGAAAAAATAGAAGCAGTATCGATGTCCGCAACGTTTTCGTAGCGTCGCCATATAGGGGGTCTAAGAAGAGTAAATTCAAAACCATACACAACTCTAATCAAACTGTATAAGCCCAATTTCTGGAACATGCGCCACAGAACACTTGACAAATCGCTCATTTAAGCGCTCATAACTCCTCCCAGAGAGTCGCTTGGCAGGTAATAAACATATGTCTGTGATCAGCGTTTCATGACGAGTCCGATGATATACAGCATGTTTGGTATGGCTGGGTTACGTTCTGACCATTCCCTGTTCAGCTTTGCAACCTGTATCTCCCGCGAATCGGTTAGGTGCACTTTCTTTATAATGACGGCTCATTTCCAAACGTGTACTCTAAAGAGGTTAGTTTTTGCATACCCATGTTAGGAAGAGATAAGCTGTATGTAGAAAACAGCAAGGAATGCCAGCTTAGCGTTTTGACAGATGATAATCTTGTGATTACGACTTCTAAGCTAAGCCACTCAGTCCTACATATTGTACATCAAACATTTCCGTCTAGGAACGATTAGTTGAGGTGCAGTGCTTACTGAGGCCTTCCTGCTCTGGCCCCAGATAGTGAGCCCACACTTGAGCGGCGTCCAGCGTTGCTCGTGCCAACGCCGTGCCAGTCTCGTGCTAACACCATGTTACAACGGCGATCAATCAATAAGGCGTAATAAGTTTTTGTATGACGGCACGTCCACTTGTAGCGAAGAGACTGTAACAACCCAACAAAAACCATTGCAAAGTGGGAATCATATACGAACAGAATATTTTAATCTAGAAGCTGACATTCACTTTTTAGTTTATAATACACTCATGTGACTTCAGGATTCAAGGATATAATCCTTTATGTACTATCGATTTCTTACAACTAGATGATTGGCAGATGTCAGATTTATTTGACGTTAGCAAGGTGAAAACAAAACCATTTGCGTTTTTGAGAAATCTTATTTTAGTACCAGTGTATTAGGTCATTCCGAAAGTAACTTCGCTTTTTTCAAAGGGGCACCACATTTGATGGAACAAAGGTTTTAAGAGGTCCTAGAAATATTCGATGCAGAGTTTCATTCTCTTTCTAATGGTTATGAAATTGTTGTAAAACAATCAATGAGCTTTCAGGAAATAACCAAAATCTGCGACCTATGCTTTTTGAAATGGTCAAGTTTCACGATTTTCCAAAACTTTCATATCAATATCTGAAGGAGCTCAAGCAACGATTCGATAGACTAGACCTTATAGAATACAGTACTACTTTTTTCTCTTTCCCGTTGCTCGCCGTAATTTTTTAGAAGATTTTCTAACAGAACCATCGGATTTTGGCAGGCTCACCTCAGCCACAATGCATCACACATCATGATTTTTCCAAGTTTGTGACTACCGAGATAGTACTATGAGTTGGCATTGATTTTACAAAGCAAGTGAGGGTTTATAGGTTCGAAATATCAAATTTCGAGTTTTTCGGGTACAGCCTAAAGCTCGCCAAATAAATGAGTTATGATGATTTCTCCCCGGAAACTAAACGAATAGGAAACAAAAAACACCTGTTGCAAAGAGGAGAAAATGCTGCATCGAATAGTGCCCGAGCTGCTCTTCTTTTGATGTTTTACCAGAATTTAGCTGTCCAAGTTTGGAAAACGGTAGCATCAGTTAAAATTCTGTTAAAAATGTATGACAAGCTATGGAAAAGAGAAAAAAGTAGTACTGTATTCTATAAGGTTTACTCTATCGAATCGCTACTTGAGCTCCTTCTGAGGATTGGTATGAAAGTTTTGGAAAATCGTGAAACTTGACCACCTCAAAAAGCATAGGTCGCAGATTTTGGTTGTTTTCTGAAAGCTCATTGATTGTTTTGCAACAACTTCATAACCATTAGAAAGAGAATGAAATGCTGCATCGATGTTTTCAAGATCTCTTAGAAACCTTTGTTCAAATGTGGCGCCCGTTTGAAAAAAGCGAAATTACTTTCGGAATGACCTAATAATTCATCCTTGACTCTTAGCCAATAAGAAATCGTTATTTTCATGCATAACAATAGTTCGCTATTGAATTATAAAAGGGTTTAAGTAAATGTTAAATTTTGAGCATTTTTTTACATGACATGACCGAGTGAATCAAAACATTTTATATTTCAGTTTTTTTAGTTGCAAAAATCTAACTATTCCAACTTTAGTCGTTTAGTGATTTTTGACAGATCTGTCAACCAACAAAGTCTTGTTGAATCTCGGGAATCTTTTTTTTGAAATACCTTAACGGCCACCCATAATGGTCCAGATAATGCTTCAAAAATTGTTCGAGCTTAAACAGACTTGATGATAGTCTTTAAAAGCTTGTGAAGAAATAAGTTTCCCGTTTTTGCCTGAAAGGCTGAATTAGACACATTATTTATATTTTAACAAACGTCTTCTCTTTATTGATACTTTTCCACGCTATTTTCGTATTACAATGATTTCCCGATAAATCGAAATGTTTGTTTAAGTCTATGATGCTATAAAAGGAATTTGAAACACATAACTTTTATTTCCTAAGATCGAAATCAGTAAAAACACAAAGAGATGCCGATGACACGGAGAGCGTATCTCTTTGAAGAACTATCCTTCTAACGTTTCTCAACAAATAAAATAAAAGGAAGCCTACAAAGGTCACCACAACACCATTTCTGGAAAACACGCTTTCTAATTTGGAGACTTTCCAGACGCCATAAGTTCCGAGGTTGCGCCAGAAAAAGATTTCTATGGTAAAACTGTCAAGAATTACCAGAATATTGTACGGAAAATCACCAACAACTTTGCTTGAAAAAATTTTGAGAATTTTTCATATAGATTTGCAGAATTATGCATAGTCACCTTTACAAAACCAGACATAAACTATGCAACATACAAAAAACATTTTTAACCTTGAAGCTGTCGGAAGTACTCAGTCAAATTCTGAGAAAAGCAAAGAATATGTTACTACTTTTTATGTGCTTCTTTCACCTCATAAAATATCCAACACCCACAGATAAACTAGCGACCATCTTCAAAACCATAAAAAAATCTAGCTCTAATGAGCTAATGAGCTCCCTTTATGGATTTTATGCAGACTTTTTGTTAGAGTCATCTAACAGTGGAGATTTTTGTCGGAAAAACCCCTCCTTTATCGATTTTTTGTCAAAAACCTTTTTTATACAAGCAAGCCATAAGCAATCGGAGCTCTTTTTCTGTTTGGCTTGAGATAAGATAAGCATGTAGTTTCATGAATAATCAGATTTATCATCTGTTCATCTGTCAGATTTAAATTTTTCTCTGCAGAACTGCTTATCAGATGATAGTTGATGAACTATGAAATCCAGTGTAGGCAAAGAAAGCCTTATTGATTATTTATTGATGAAAAACTAGGTGAAATAGAAGGTTTTCTCATTACTTTATTCAAAATAATCCATATTATAACGGAATGCACAAGTTTTTGCACATTGTGAGATCAGCAAAAAAACGTCACACATTTCAAAAATTAGGAAATTATTACGCCAAAAGAACATAATACAAAAATTGATACAAACTTCATTTGTTACAACCACAACACCTGTTTAAAGAAGTTGGACTACAATAACACACATGCACAACAACAATAGGAGACTTTCTGGCGCTTTTACGTAATTTTGCGGCCCAATAATTCCTACCTCCTCTCTTATTATAAATGCAATGTGCACTATGTCTGGACCGTTTTTTCTTGGGTGCTGTTGGCTCTGCTGGAATCACCTGAACATCTGTGGGCTTCCCACTTGGAGCCGGGACTGCTGGCTCGGGTGGAGGAAGTAGAAGGATTGTCGTGGCGCTTGCCGATGTTACTATGCGCTTTTCCTTCCATTTTTCTGGAACTTTCGGTTTTGGAGAAGGTTTCCCACAAGATTTCGGTGGTTCCTTCCCAGAACTCTGATAGGGTACAGGAGCTTCAGTTAAAGGTTCTGGCGGAGGTAAGGATACCCTCTTCAGTGTAATAGGTCGCTTAACCTCAGCGCACTTTGTTGGGAACAAATCTCCAAGTGGTTTTACCTCCAGGGAAGGTTGCATAGCGGCCAATGTAACCAACTCTGGTTCTTCGTCTGAGAAATCTGACAGACTTGAGACCTCAGAAGGAGGTCGTGGACTTCCTGGACTGGGTCTATATACTCGGATAGCTGGTTCTTCTGGTGTAGGAGGTTCCACAATCGGTTCCGGTGGGGAGGAAATTCTAATGCTAGGGAGAGAACGCTTTGGTGGGCTAAAAGCCGAAAGATGTTGTCCTGTTGATGTTCCCGGTGGGGGTAGACCTGCTTTCTTGACGGGGAGTTTTTGTTTTGGCGGGAATATAATCGACTTCTTTTCAGTAGTCTCAGGTAGTGCCTTAGTACAGAAGCGAGGTTTTGGGGGTATTTCTGGCTTAGGACCTCTGTAAGACCCCCGCTCACATTGGGGTTTGGTTACGGTAGCTTTGATGGCGGTCTCAACGAGTTTTCTCGGTTGTTGTGTCTTTGTACATTTACAATCTCTAATAACTTCGTCTTTTCCCTTTTTCGATGCATCCCCAGAGGACATTCCGATGGTGGGGAACTGTCTTGGTAATTTAGATTTCCCTTTCAGTTCCCTAATGCTCTGCCTCGGCTTTGGCTCTGGGATTCGTGCCATTTCCGTTTTTCCCTCAGTTTCAGTTTCTTCTTCGGGTATTTTCGTCATCGTTGGGAAAGTTTTCTTCTTCATTTTGTATGATTGAAGTTGTATCGTTTCCGGCGCGTATACAGCTGACTTCAATCCTAAAAATTATAAAGTTTAGTAGATTTGACGTTTGGTGCAGTGCGTCTACCGTGAAAACAACAAGTGCGCGTAAACATATGCAACGCCTTTAGATGCTGTCTATTTGCTTGTGATATGCGCGCAAAAATCGGCCATAGAGCTACAGTGTTATTGTTTACGCGCAAATGTTGTCGGTAACGCAAACAAGCTATCATAGTGATTGTTCGCATTGCACAACCTATGCGGTAAACCAAGTGGTAAGTGACTAGATGCAGTTTTGACGAATTTTATTTGTCGCCTCAATTTGAACAGAAAGTATAAATAGTCTTTTTTTATTGAAATTCTCTACAGATACTTTTGACACACTTCTATTCAAAGTAACCGTGAGATGCCGCGCGTTGCTTGCAGTTGCACATCTTGATTTGCAGTCCAGTAGATCTCGTTGATTATAGCGCCTCTGAGCTGCCAAAATTTGCCGACAGCATTTGCGCGTTTACCCAAGGACGCAAAACTCAAAAATATGCATTGTGCGGCAATTTGCGCGCAAGTCGCCGGCAGCACAAACGCAGATTTCTTCACGCGCAAATGTTGTCGGAAAACGTAGTCACTAAAACACTACATATATACACTGTCTATGAGCAGCTCCTCAACTTTGGCGAGGCGGAGCTGCACTAGCGGCTCTTGGTTGCGGTTGCCCTGTGCTGGGGCATACCTGATCCATTGATCTTTGTTGATCATCACGGATCCGCCTCGCCACAGTTGGGGAGTCGACAATACAGTCGATTAGATTTTCCGCTTAAAGGCAATGTCCGGGCAAAGTCTCGATTTTGAGATTTCGCGCTCGGGCCTGTTCAAGTTGCTGAATCCGAAAATCCACACTGGAAAGCGCGAAAACGGCAAAAAACGGCTCTAACACAGAAGGGAAATCAGCAGGGGCGGGGTCCTCCCCACTGTGCATTCACGTTCCTCTTCCAGAGCGATCTTCTCGATTCCGCTTGCCGTCTTATAGGGGCCTGCAGGATCGCGAGAGTCGGACGCGCGTACGGCCTTTGCGCCGCGCACGCCTGATATCGCTGGGTAGTAGTCGATTAAGGCTAGATAGGTAAGTTTTTTTTGTTTTTCTTTACATTTCACGCCTTCTTTTCTTTTCAGACGGTGAGCACATGTTGGTGCGGAGGAGTTTAAGATCTGAATTTAGGTGAGCTGCAGGATTATGCTCAATACGGACTCAGTATTGCAGACCTTCCATGCCTGCTGGTTGAGATGTTGGATTTTCTGTCCTGGCTCCCTGTTACAGCAAACTGTTCTATTTCTACCGTCTATTCTACCTTATCTTGCATATTGCTTGTGATGATGATGATGATGATGATGATGACAATGATTATGATTGTGATGACGCGCATGATGCAAGATGAGGTAGAACAGACGTTGCAAATAAAACGGAGTTTCGTAACCGGGCAGGCAGGACGAAAAATCGAACATAATCGGACAGCCAGAACAGAAAACTCAACATTCTTCAAAGCAGGGGTGAAAAGTCCACAATATTGGCCCGTATTGAGCATAATCCTGCACCTCACCTTAATCTAGATCTTAAACTCCTCTGCACCAACATATGTTCGCCGCCTGAAAAGAAAAGAAGGCGAGAAATGAGAAGAAAAACAAAAAAATCTCACCTATCCAGCCTAAATCGAGTACGACCCAGTGACATACGACGTGCGCGGCGCAATGGCCGTACGCACGTCCGACTCTCGCGATCCTGCAGGCCCCTATAGCATCGCACCGCCAACTGCGCATGATTGACATTGAAACCGAGGACGAGAAGATCGCTCTGGAAGAGGAACGTGAATGCACAGTGGGGAGGACCCCGCCCCTGCTGATTTCCCTTCTGTGTTAGAGCCATTTTTCGCCGTTTTCGCACTCTCCGATGTGCATTTTCGGATTCAGCGTAGCGGATAGGCCCGGGTAAGCAAAAAATCTCAAATTCGAGTTTTTGCCCGGACCCTGCCTTCAATATAATGTGCTCGCACTGCAGATGAAAGCGGTAAAATTTCCTAGCTGCCTCTGTGACGCCGCTCAATTGCGCGAGCAAAATACCGGCATTACAGGCGCGGCTACTGTTCACGCGCAAATTTTACCGCATTTCATCTGCAGTGCGAGCACACTACCCTATTTTCCGGAGTATAGGCCGCATTTCTTTTCACCGCGCGCGGGCTGAATGCGATGTCGTTCGCGATGCGCGAAGCCGCACAAGCAGCAACTACTATCTATTTCGCCTGGTAATCTAATACGGGCTTTCTGCTTTCGTTCTTAATTTGGTTTTCGCAAGTGTATTTGTTCGTAACAAAATTCTCTACCTTCTCATCTTCTTCAAGAATCCTGAACAATAAAAGAACGTTCGAATACCAGTAGTAACATGCGAAAGGTGATAAGCTTCAATTCGGTAAATCAAAATAAAAGAAAGCACATCTTCAGCACCAGTAACATCATTGAAAAAAGGAAAGCACAGTCAACCAGTAGTACCATTTAAGAAAGAAAACACATCCTAAATACCCGCAAAGTCATATGAAACAAGAAAAAAAGTGAAGACATGACTATCCGTACTAGAACGCACCAAGTTTTCAATTTGCTATATAGCTCTTTCCAAAGGCGCTTTCGCGCATTGTTCGCTGCGGCGGGTGCGGCTTATACTCCGGAAAATGGGATATATGAAGCAGAAATTCTCTTCGACTGTGCGACGACACCACTGTCTCAATTGACAAACAAACAAATATTTTTTTACTTCACTCAATGTTTGTTTTGCAGAATCTATCGTTATATTTATAATCTTTTGCAAATCGAAGGATTAAATGATAGTTGCTCCATATCGGACACAGTGCAAAGTTATTAAACTTTTTTTAGAAGAATGTAAGTCCCTTGTTTGAATTTGAAAAAAGCTTTCGCCCAACTTGCAATGAAGTAATGTCATGCTACTTTAGAAATGCATGTCAGCTTTGCATTTATATGAAGAAGATCGATCATCTTGCCATTCAACAAAAGTCATGAAAGAGAATCGGACATGAAAGTGTAGTTTGATATTCTGCAGCAAGTTTTGCTAGTTATGTTGCTGAAACGGGAGATGATGAATTAATAGTCAGTGGAAACTCCATTCTATCAAAAGAAATTTGAACTTTTGCAAGAACACTTCACCATCGAAATCGCAATAAATTTACCCGAAGAAGAAATTGGAGAGTGCAATCATGCCGCAAACGAAATTTCAAAAGATATTTGATGATTGATGTGGTGTTTCTGCTATTGGTGCCAACATTTGCGAGTAAAAATTGAGCATTGAGCGCAGGGGCACCCGCAATTGTGCCAAAATGGTAAGCATGGCATTCTCCCGCGCAAATGTTGCTATTGCCGCAGGAACACTACATCAACAATGCACTACTTGGAATTACTACAAGATTTTTTGAAATGGATGTCTCTTGATCGCAAAAAAAAGATTTTTTGGCTCAATCTCGTAGCACAGCACTGCAGGTAGTCTGTCGGCGCACTGTAGACATACGGTAGACGTTTGAATTGTTTTAAATGGGTGTAACTATTCTGATATATTATATATCTACCGTAGTCGACAGATTACCGCAATATGTAGATCACAAAATTCATTTTTTTAGGCTGAAAGAGAATCTTTTTCCGAAAAAAATTTCACCAAAAGGAACGGCCAAAATTGTAGGATACTCTCACTACGCCCGCATAAAAATCTTATGCGGAAAGTATGATAGAAGGGAGTTTTAGATTTGGAAATTTAAAAATTCCGCTGGCCACCCTCTTTCTATATTTACAGCGTTTTTTGGGATTCTGTTTTATACAATTTTTCCGCGATTGGTTTTTGAGATCATGTCTGCATTCAAAATGCTGTCTAACCGAAAATTGGGCATAAGCAGCATTCAGATTTGCCCATGGCTGTGCCAGCGTCATGCCAGTGTCCTGCCCGCGCAATGCTAGCGCCATGCCGGAACCCACAAACACACGCCTTACAATCGACCGACATTATAGCACGGCACCGGCACGGCTCTGGCATGGCGCTGACATGATCAGCTCCGGACAAAGTCTAGATGAAAGCGATTGGAGCGAAAAACAAAGATTTGCCAGTTAACGGGTTTGTTAATTATTTCAGATTAAATCCAACTCTTAGTCACACCGATAAATATCATTCTATGACTAGGAGACGCGAGGCCGCTGGGCACACGTTGTCTAAACAAGCCTAATCGTGTACGTAGCAGGTTTATACTTGTTATTCATTCCGTCCAGGTTTATTCACTTTTTGGAAACACGGAAGAACAAACTCAAACTTGTAAGAGCAATGCGCAATGCGGTCTCGCGTCTCCTAGTCATAGAATAAATGATACTTATTTCAATCATCAAATGCAAAATTGAACGATTGTGACACCATTCTTCTTCTATTTCCACTATTGATAACTCCATACTTGCAAGACGTTTTCGGATGTAAATAAGCGTCAAAAACCAAATAATCTGGGCTAGTAACCATTGCGAAACAAAATAGATGACACTGACAGAGAATTTATCTATTCCCATTGATTACTTCATTCTACAGGGACGATGAATTTAGCGCTCCTGCACTGCCAACAACACTTGCACGTAAAAAAAGGATCCTGACGCAAAACCTCGAAAATGCGCTCGATGGACATTTCTCACGCAATGTGTTATTATCACAAGCATGGTAAATTTTCCGCGCAAATGTTATAAGCACCGCAGTGCAATCTAATCCCCTTTACCACTATTTTAACTGTGCGCAAATATTCAAAATGCTCCAATGAGAAAAAATACTCAAACAAAATAAAAATAGTCCTACTTAAAATCAATAAATGAAGTACGTTGAGACAAAGCGATATGGAAGAACGAAAGTAACAAGACAGAGACTGTGAGTCATTGGACAGTAAGGAGGATGGTTTATTTAGTGCCCTTGAGAAGAGTGTCCAGTCACATACTTCAACTAGTTTGGTTCGTCCTATAGCCAAAATTAGATTTGGCGAAAACTTCAACAAGTGTGTGTAAAAGTAAGGAAAAAGCAAAAACAAACATCTATCCCGTTAACAGCAAATTTTGCACCGCTATAAACAGTTTAAGCTATAGTATCAAAGATCTCGACAATACGCTGTGCATTTACACGCTACCACCTAAATGCGCGGCAAAACAAAAATTTACCAGAACATGAATCTACGGTAAGTTTTTGCGTTTCAAATTTATTCAGGTGAACGTAGGAAATAGAAAAGTTCTAGAATAGCACGGTACAGAGCTCGCGATCGCTGTTTCCAAAACCTAGTTTTGTATGATTTGACCAAATTATTCAGAAAACATTCATTACTATCACCTAAGTTCAAAAAGTTGATGGTCAGTGTAGTGCCCCTACTGATCACAACATTTGCGCGACGAAAACATCACGGTGCATGCCAATGATTTGCTGGCGGCTTGCGCGTGAAAGCGCTTGTCATTGTTTACTCGCACATAATGTGGACAACGCAAGAACACTATATTACTCGCTTGATCTACTAGCCTATAAAAAGGCGAAAATAGGTAAAATCTGGGACGAGTTGCACCTACCTCTGCTCATGAGTTTCTCGTTGGATCCTGTGCCGTTGCAGTTGAGGGAATGAGACTTGCTAGAGAATGGTGAAACCGTCATCAAAGTACACTGTTCGGTTCCCTTCTGAGGGTCTCATAAATATCTTATCTCTAAGAATTGTGGAAAGGACAAAAAAGGAACGCAAAAGGCGATAATGGGGCAGTTATGACGCATCATCGCGCCTTTAGAAATGATCAATGATGCATTTCCTGGAACAGTTTTTTCTATGGGATGATTCTTGTAGAGATTATCTGCATTCGTACCATGCCCGAGTTCGGCATTGTAGTCATCGTAAACCCGCGTAGATTATTCACACCAATGAGTAAACATTGCTCCCACTCGTCACATCGCGCCCCCGCGGCGAACACCGCGCGGGCGGCGTTCGCGCTCCGCCCGCACCGCAACGGCTGCACGGTGAAGCGCCGGCGAACACGCGGTCAATCAATTCGATGGATTGCGACTCCCATTGATGTGCGCTTCCTATTCTTCTTGTTGATTCTTCTTCCGCGTAAGTGTTTGTTTACTACCAATGCATCAATACATAAGTGAGTAAGACATTTTGGCTTCTTACTGGGCGAAAAGCATGTAGGAATTACTAGGACCGCCTAGAACTGTCCCATCTGCATGTTTACGTTTTAGTTTTACTACATTGACGTATTCGGCGTAATGAGTCGATGGTCGGTAGGCTCCGCACCTGGGAGGTACGTTTAGATATGTTCTCTGAAATCAAGCCAATATATAATCCATGATCAAGAAGACTTTCGTAGTTTTTTCTCATATAGATGTAGACAGTCATGAATGAATAGCATTTTTCTGCTAATCTTATCGGAACGCTGCAATGACAAAGCATGAATCATTTTGCATTTTTCTCGAGTTTTTACCAGATATATCTAGTAGATATTTCGTTATTGATCAGATAGTGTAGCGTAAATTACTGCCGCGGGAATATATCTAAATTGATTAATCCTTGAACGACGGTTTCATGTTTGAAGCCTAATGGAATTGTAGTATTCTGTGCTTTTAATGCACAGACGCAGCGAAATAATTTAGAAAAGCCAGAATGCTACATTCCTATTAGAATTTGTTAAGTGAAAGGACAATCCTACACATCTGCATCGATATTAACGATAAAATTCTTGCTCAGCGAACACGTGAATATATATGATCAATTTTCTCATGCAAATCACGGTGATAAGCGGTTTTGCGACCGTAAGCTGTCATCTGCTCGGCCATTATGGTTTTTGGTGCAAATTCTTGGCTGTAGTATTATTCGATGCGCTTCCACTGTTTGCAGCAAAAGTATTCTTGTCCACATGAAGCCTTACTATTAAAATTCAAATTTATAGGGATCAAAAATGGGAATAACGTAATTTGCTTTGTTTAGTAGTGACGGTTGATATGATAAATGCCACTTTCGATTTGAATTATTACACCTTATCCGACACCTTATGTTTGCGTTCATCAGTATGGTAGATCAAAATCACATATAGGTAGTTCCCGAAAATCGATCGGTGTGTTTTTTTCATTCCTCACTTGCTCGTGACCGCAAATGAATAGCATGTGTTTCCGAAAATTACGTTTGTTAATCGCTGCTTATATCATACAAATCCTGCGTTGCCGACAACACTTGCGCGTAATATAACCTGGAGCGCAAAACTTATAAATGTCCGCCCAAATGCCGTTTTGTCCGCTCAAGTGTTGTCAGCGTTGCAAGCGGAACATTTTTTGCACAGCTGTCCCCCTCAGCAGCACATTGACTTGAAATCTACTAGCTAGCCTACGACATCATATTCGGTGATTTTTGATGCATTAAAAAGCATAAAAAGCTGTTGATTTCGAAAATAAGAAATTCTCTGAGCTCAAACCTTATGATCACTTCTCTTTGGACTTGCGGAGTTGTTTCTTCAAACATCTCAACGCCAAGGTACCCAAACTGTCTCCTTCTAAGCTTCTCACCTTCATAATCTCATGCTTGCTGGACTTCTAGTGTGAAACCGGTTTATGGTGCACGATATCCACCTTTACAACACGACATACCTTGTGGAAGTCCTACAAAGGATTTGGCTAAAACGAAGACTTTTCAGGATTACGAAAACAGGTTTGTCTGCAGTGGATGAAGTTTTTTTTTACGTATGCAATGTTTTTCTTTTCTTTCATTGTGTCATTAATTCTGTTTTTAGTGTATCAGATGCTTGGGACACGCGAGTTCTTGTCGATGATGCGCTTGCATCCGCGTCAGCTGCTCGAGTTCTAGCTGCCCATGCGGCCGGAAAGACTAGAGAAGAGGTGGGTAGACAATAGAACATTAGAATGGATGATCTTGATATTTTTTGCAAGATCACTTCATATCCGGAATTTAATTGGAACATCTAGGAGTGATGCATCAATAATATAAATTAGTTATTGCAGTAAGCCTTTCTTGCGGAGCTCATTACAAATTTGGTGTTGATTCTATGAACGCTTCTTCTTTGTATGCGTCAAAAGCTGTTGATCTACAGATATTGGTTCGGTGCTGTTCAAATAAATTTCTTTTAGGTCATCATGCCCAGAGTAAATCCTGCTCCAACAAAGAATGGTCGTGTACAGGCGTTGCAACGACTTGCCATACAAAAAGGTAAACAGTTTTGCCTTTGCAAGTTTTGTCTTTTTTCGTTCGTCTGCATTTATGCTTCTAGAAAAAAAACTGCATGATTTATTTAGGATGATTTCTTCAGTTTTTCTATTATTTAGATCCTATCCCTACATCTGTGCCAGCTCCTCCGTTAACTGCTAATCCGATATATCCAAAATTGCCAGAAATCTCCGGTGATCAAGTCCGTTCAACAGTGTCAGCGGCGAAATTATCTTCCCAAGGTTAGCTTTATTGCTGGTACTCATTATCGCGACATTTCTCAACCTGAACATAATTTTGGGACTTTTTTTCTGTATTTTACGCTTCATGAGAACGAAATAGATGCATCAGCAGTTTTATCTGTCTGAGAGCAATGACCCGCATCGCTCTTTTAACGTTTTATATCCCTCGTTTCAGAAGGAGAACGCGACCAGACGCGATTCGAACGGCTTCGGCGTCTGTTTTCTGTGGGAAAGTCAAATGGCCGCAATTCGCCACCAGCCGATATTGATATGGAGCAGTTGAGAAAAGATTGTTGGATGGGGATTCCGCATAAATTGCGACCGCAAGCTTGGCGTTTGCTCTCGGTATGACTTTGTTTGTTGTTTCCATCTAGATATTTATGTTCATTTTTTTTCTCTCCGCATTGCATCCTACGTCATGTGGAAATTTGCAAACGTGCTCGCAGTGGATGCGGAGCTGAATGAATGTGTAGAATCTTTGTGGAATGTCTAGACATGGTATAATGCGAAAATGCAACAGATAAGGGGTTTCTTTGCGTAAGTGCTTTCAAAGCATGTACGTCAGCCGCAATAAAATCGCCATATTGTCATTTTTTTGTTGATAGAGATTTATTGCAACAGTATTAGAAAAAGTTCTTTTGACGCTAACACGATGCACAGGCGCCTTGTTTGTGACCGTTGTACGTTCACTGGTTTAGAGAGTGCTGAATCCCATAGAAACATCAAATAACTGTCAATCGATTGTCCTTGTTGAGAGTGTGGCAGATCTTACGGTTTGTTTTGATGTCAGTAAGAGTCTATTCGCTCAACTTTAAATCGCACGACATTTGATCAAGGTTCTTGTGCTGAGTGCACAAAAGCTTTTTGTGAGGTTACAGTGGGCATGGACAGCGGTTGAATACCTTAGTTTATACGTGGGGACGTCATGCAGACCTTTCGACAGATTTATTGTGGGATTCGGGGCTGAGTAATTTACGTTTCAATAACAGAAGCAAAGACGCAGTAAGACAATGCTTCGTTCGCTTCTTGGATAACAGAAGTAAAGACGCAGTAAGACTATGACTTCGTTCAATTTTTGGTTGAGTTGAGTTCATACTTGGCAAGTTGATTAGGATGATATCTGTCACCATGTGATTCGCTAGTGAATCGGCAGAGCCTGTAAGTGCTATAACATATTTTGTTGCCAGCCAAATGCCCTATCGGCTAACCGATGTGTTATGCGTAGTATACTAGATAACTGGAGGAAAGAGCCTGTCAAGAGATCTGTAATTTTGCCTTAGCGTAGGCAAATACGAATACAGTCTGCTGCTAGAATCTGGAGATGATATAATCCCTTGTACACTCCGAATCATTTAGCTGAGTGTGGTGTGACCTGAGTCAGTAGTAGTATAGTAGGTGATGATGAATACATTATTCATATTATTTCTAGTTTTCTCACTCTTTTTGGCAGTCATGCACCCTTCCTTTCTACATTTGACTTTAAACATCATTTCAGGGCTATCTACCAACGAATTATGAACGGAGAGAAGTTACATTGGCAAGTAAAAGAGAGCAGTACTGGCATTATGTTGAACAATATTTCCACCTACGATTCGATGATCAGAATAACGACACTTTCAGACAGGTTGCGTCAGTTTTCGAAATTCAATTTTTTGTGCTTTTCTTGAGGTTTTTGGAAGCAGAATGCTATTGTTGCCAGTGCATTACCGTAGTGAATTTATTCAGATTCATATCGACATACCGAGAATGTGTCCATTGATACCATTGTTTCAACAAAAACTTGTACAAGAGGTAGTTTTGTACTTATGAGATATCTATTTCAACAAAGTCTTGTGTTCTTTCTACAGATGTTCGAAAGAATATTGTACATCTGGGCGATACGCCACCCTGGTAGTGGTTATGTTCAAGGAATTAATGATCTTGTAACACCATTTTTCGTAGTTTTCGTGTCAGAGTTCGTGCCACAAGATGTAGAGGTAAGCGACTCGTATTTTTTTTGTTAGTATGCTATATAACTACATTCTGACAGGTTGGCTCGTTTGATGTCTCGCAGCTTTCGCGTGAGCAGTGTGAATTGGTAGAAGCAGATTCATTTTGGTGTGTCTCTGCGCTGCTTGATTCCATTCATGACAATTACACATTTGCTCAGCCGGGAATCCAAAGGAAGGTGTTGCAGTTAAGACATCTGATGAGTAGAGTTGATCGTGAGTTGTGTTCTTTATGGGGCATTTTTGGCCGCAAGGCTGATTTTTTTCCATATCTTATCTGTTATTACATTTAGGACCTCTTCATATGCATTTGGAGTCAAACGGAATTGAATATCTACAGTTTTCATTCCGATGGATGAACAATCTTCTCATGAGAGAAATTCCTTTGCGGGCTACAATCCGCCTTTGGGATACTTACTTGGTGAGATTTTGAGGATAATCTTCTTTAAGGGTTTTTTTTACCATCAAAAATGCGATTTTGTGTATGCGACCTAGCACGTTGATGTTTAATATATTGTTAGTGTTTTAGAGCGAACCCAATGGGTTCTCACAATTCCACAGTTATGTGTGTGCAGCATTCCTTCGTACGTGGTCAAGACAGCTACAAGCAGAAAGAGATTTCCAGGTGAGAATCGATTATTATAATATTCTCCTTCTTTCCTTTTTCTATTTTTCCATGTTTATATGGTTTATCCCTCTTCATCAACTTAATTTTGATAGGTACTTTCTTTAGGGTATAATGATACTGCTGCAAAATTTGCCAACGCAGTGCTGGGGAGATCGAGAAATTTGCGAATTAACTGCTGACGCTTTCTCTCTTATGTCAGTATTCGATGGAGCTCGACGTCATCTCTCTAGTCCTGCTGATATTTGATGCCATTCTAAACCCTATCAAACCAAATACGATTGAAACAGAACACTATTGATATCTATCGACACCTCGTCATAGTGGCCTTGAGAATTGTCGAAGTATCTACGAGTCCATTCGTTAATGTGTTCTAGAACCTCACATCAGCCAGGGCCGTAACTTCACAGTGCCTCAGCTGCTTGTAGCTCATCTCCTAACCAAAGGAGTGGAAAAATAAGTTTCACGAACTTCTCGCAGATTATTTGGAGGTAACACTTACAGACAGATTTTATAGCAAAAATCTCAATTTTTACTTTTCTCCGTTTTTTTTTCAAACTAATTTTCAGAGGTCATTCTCCTCTAATGTTTCATGTATATTTTGGTTGTAAGTGTTGCCTCTTTTGAATGCATAGATGCTATCTTCTTACTGTGATCATTATTTTTTTTTTTCAAAGTCATTACAAGCTCATGTGTTACAATTTTTTCCATCACGATTTCATGTAGCAAGGGATTTGCCAGGATGATTAACTTTTTAGACTGTAAAAATCAGTTACATCCCAGCAAATCTAGCTTTCTTGGTTTTCTTGCTTGGAAATGTATATTTGGATGGGAATGTTGTTCTTTCATGTTTTCAGTGTAATATATGTATAGTTAAGCATAATTTTTCATTGGCTTGTTATCATGCATATGGATACGGTTGGGAAGTCAGTTCCCTGACAAACTCCTTATTAGAGCAACCGAAAAGTATACACGTATTTGTGATAATCATAGAGTATTCGGTGTTCCTTGCAGCGACCGGACCGAATTTTGCTTTTGGGTGGTCAGATGTATTAGATGGATAATTACCAGTTGAGGTGCCTGAAATAGTATAAAACCATAGCTTCACCAGCTGACAAACCTGAAATAATACAATCCTTAGCTTTGCTACTTCTACGTGTAGAAACTACACCGGTAGAATGCTCACGTTTTCTCTTTGTCGATCCCTATACATGTGGCTAGTGGGTTCGAGTCCTCTTCCGCTCCGACCCTGACATACGAGTGTAGTTGCGGCTGATGTTCATGAAGTTGTCGGCTATATACGGTATGCGGCAATGGGTTGATTCTTTCATGTTTTTGTTTCCAAAACATATCGTCTTCGGGCTCCGCTATAATGGTTCAGTATATTCATCCGAAAGTAAAAGTTCTCTTGTTTTGTTTGAAATGGATTTTCTTATCCGTAACGGGTAAAAAATGCCAGAAAATTGGAATGAAAACAGAAAAGGCAATATTTTGACAGAAGTTAAGAATTCTTTAGTCATGTGACAAAGGATTCCCCAGAGCTTACGGTTCTTGAGTAAATGGAAAATCTTAATACTGTGAGAATTTTATGAGTAAACAGCAAAATTTATTGTAAAACCCACGCAGATCCATCGTTTGCAAGCGGTTGACGATTGCAAATGATGTTGCTATGTTTCTATCCAGTATATAATTCATTTCGAAGTCATCATCATCTAAGCCAAATGGATGCATCAGATCTTGTCCAACCTGCAGTTACTAGATTTTCAACGAACGGTCAAATCGGAACTTCTTGCTTACTTTGAACCATCCAACGAAAAACATGAATTGCACAATGGTGAACACAGGTATCATGAGATCGATTTCCTTTCCAGCTTTTATCTCGGGTAGGAGATTTTGGCGTCCGAATAATGCGAAGAAAAAGAATCCGTAGGTTGCTAGCGCAGCTACCTGTAAATTAAGATAATTAGATCAGCTCTCTTGTCTTTAGACCTGGCGGTGGAGTTAACTCCTCCGAATAAACATTTACCAAGCCTAGGTCCGGGACAACAATCAACTACTAACACACATCAAAATTCGAATAATTGCTAATCAGACATTGAGGTTTGACATAATCTATTTTCCAGGATTTTCACATCTTTTCGAAATGATATTTGTAAAATTTTCGTTCACCACAAACTAATTGCGCCTAATCGTTACATATCGCACGATCGTAGTTCGAACTTAATGCAACCACTTATTCCACCCCTTCTTGTTCTTACCCTTCCCACAAATCTATTCAATTTACGTATCAAGTATTGAGTCACGTATTAAGCGATCAAACTATCATAGAAATATGGACCCCACATGATTCTAGAAGATAGAGTAGAAATAAGCAAACTTTAAAATGGTCTACATGAGTCATAAAATTGTGCAGATGACTTGATTGAATTAGTCTGTATTCTGTACTTTGAAGATCTATACCATTCTTGGACTACGCTCAAATAAACAACGAGAAAATTACAAGTGACTTGATTTTTTGTTGCATTTGAATAGGATAACTTCGGTAATTGATAAAATAATTTTATTTGAAAAAGTTTCCATAGAAGCGTGGTCGCCGCCCTTTGAAGATTGAAAGTTGGTCGGAATATCATTAAAAGCCCAAAATCGTCCCAAAAACCTTCGGAAATTTTAGCTAGCATGTCTATTCACGCGAAAAATCTTCGCGCTAAGAACGCAGAAACACAAAAATCTGCTGGGCTAGATGGATAGATGTGGTATAGAGGAATAATGCAGCAGATTAGTTTTTCAGTTGTTGCTTCCTATTTTTCACTTCTATTTCATCTCTCTTCTGAAAAATGACAAATGATGCTGAACTTACCTGAGTGTATACAAGCGGAACGCAGACCCAGTCGTAACAGAATAGCCTTCGCAGCGATTGCCGAAACAACTTCAGTTCGGTCATGAAATTGTTGAAAAGTGAAGTGGTCGGCTTCTTCTCCTGAAAAGGAATAATTCTGAAAATTTTCAGGTCTTACTATCTTCATTATTACCTCTTCTTCTTTTCGCATGATCTGCTGGATCCAGTGCAGCGGAGTCATCCATCGAATGGTTTCACAGTCGTCCTAAATACGACCAATAAGTTCAAAGAAAGGCGAATTATTCGCCAATGCTTCGGTAAGAATCTTACGTGTATCTTCTCCAGAATTTCGAACTCCTTTTGTGTAAGCAGTCCTGCATCGATAAAACTCGACACATTTGGGAAACGAAGTCGGATCTTTTTTGAGATGTCGCGCCTAAATTTTACATGTGAAAACTTTTGACTCAAATAGATCTACGCAAAAATCTAACCAAGCTAAAGCAGTTGAAAGGTTGATGTATCTGGCGATAGTATGACGTCGTCGCTGACTTGTCTCATCGTTTGCATGAATGACCGTGCATAGCATGCTTAGTAGATCTTCTGGCCACGATAAGCATTCAAACTGTCGCCACCATCTGCAAGCAGAACATGAATTTTGGAGGGGGAGGGGGACATCGTATGCTTTAAGCTGAAGTAGGAACTAAAAGAAAGACCAAAGTGGAGGAAAAGGGCAATGAACTGCTCGTTGCTTGTTATATGTTGTTATAGGTCGCATGTTTTCATATAAAAGTATATTTTTCTCTTTTTTTTGACATTTCTCTAACCATTATCAATCCTTCATTTAATATCGCTAATTATCTTGCAATTGGCAACATTGATGATTAGCTGTGATCAATATGGAATATTAGCGCGATGCACTCCCGTGCTTCCGTAGCGCAGTCGGCAGCGCGTCAGTCTCATAATCTGAAGGTCGTGAGTTCGAGCCTCACCGGGAGCAACGTTTTGCGCGCCCACCATAAATATCTAATTTCCACTCGTTATTCGAGATTTCGTACAAATCTTGTAAGAATTAGTGATAGATTCTGAGCTTTTTACAATATCGAAGCTACCTACCTGGAAACAACGTTGGAGACATAGAAGCCAAGAAGAAACGTAAGTGGAATCAGCCTTGTGTAATAATCGAACATCCGACATAAGGCTTCGAATTTTTCCCTGAAATAGTATAGTATATTTTGATTTTAAAGGAAACATTGGTGGTGAATTTTAACCTGCGAAGTTAACAGTGAGATAAATCTTCATGCCATACATAAATGGCTCGTGTTCGAGAAAAAATCGATCAGTTCAAACACATTTGTAAACTGAATTTTGATGAGCTTTCTAGCAATTCTTCAGCACATGTGTTCAAATATTCCTCCTTTTGCCTGTGGATTTCAAATGAGCCAGGAACTCCAAATTCTTTATTCTTTGATTTTATCTAACAGAAAAGATACTTGAAAATTTGGGGAATTCATAAAAAAAGCATATTAGAAATGGGGTGTTACTTCCTAAATATACGGAAAATGTTTCTAATGGAAAAAGTTTTCTTTTCAAAATAGCACTTCAAATATTGTGCAAAAAAATGAATTACTTATGAATCTTGTGGCAACATACCTATACCAATCCTGAACGTCATCATCATCCACGAGATAGTCTATACCAACGAGGTAGAATAATCTAATAGCATAGAATAACACTAGGTAGATTAGCAGTTCTTTCCAAACTGATCGCCATAATGATCCTTTCCAACGAAGGAGCAATCGGCAGAAGTTCCCCGAGTACGATATGGTCATTCTGCGATTACTATAGCTTTATTTTTCAAAATGGATTTGATGTTACTTAATGGCATCGACAATACGTTTTGTGTGAAATTACAGATTCGATTGGCCTTGACACTAATTGAAGTGCATTAAAGAAGACTTGCAAAGTTCAACACAGGGATGCTGCGACCGGTAAGAATCAGAACTGCAAGGAACTTGATTTATGTAGTGTGAGGGACTGAGTTTCTTAGAAAATACAATAATAGTATATTTGTACTTTGGATTTTTAAGATCAAGTATTTTAAAACTTCTGCTAAGTTTCTTTGATCATCAACAATAAACAGCAGTCCATTAGATCTTAGGATGAATATGGTGTTCTTACGGTGACGACAACATTTGCGCGAAAACATGGCATGCTCACAAATGCCGGCTGCTTGCGATTTGCGTGTCAAAAAGGCAATAGAGCATACCGGCCATTGTTCACGGGCAAATGTTGTCCGCGAATTGATAAACATTCAACTTCAAGGCTACAAGACTTTGTTTGCAAAAATTCCATCTCATGATATAAGGCTATGAAGTACGCTCCTCAAAAACATATCAAAATAATTTACGAGTTTCTATTTATGTCCCACCTACTAGATATTTTTTCAGAGAAAAAAAACAGGATCAGAATGACATGAATTTGTAACTAGTACCGATACGAGAATAAACAAAGTGTGAATAACTATCAGCATTGATGAAGGAAAACTGAGATCAGCTGTTAGAGGAATACAGCATGTATGAAATTATCCCAAAAGTAAACTCCTTTTCTAAATAAATTGAGCTGTTTTTGCTTTCCTAACAGGCTTAGGGCACCACTCTGTAGAGCAGAGCAAGCTCTACAAAAAAAAAACGCAAAGATCCACCTAATCGAAATCCAGATGAAATTTGGAGCCAAAAATCAAGATTTTTCAGCTACCCTAAAATTTGGTACTACACTACCGCTCACATTTGAAAAAAACGCGAATGTCGCAACATGTATGAACATCACCGTCGCGTGGCCATATCTCGCTTCAGAGTGGACGAATTCTGCATCTAAAGCCATCATTCGACTCAGCTCGGCGCGGCGCATCTTCTAATGTATAAAAGTGTCCACTTGGACATAGCAGGAGGTCAGAGTCCACGAATCGTTTCAGGCATTTGCTTACGGTAGGTTGCCCAGTGGTGCAATGAATAAACACACTGAGTGACCTACCGTAAGCAAAAATCTGAAACGATTCGTGGAATCTGACCTCCTACAAGTGGACACTTCTATATATCACAAAATGCGCCGCGCCGAGCTGAGTCGATTGGTGGCTTTAGATGCAGAAATATCCACTCTGAAGCAAGATATGGCCAGGCGACGGTGATGTTCATACATGATGCGACATTCGCGTCTTTTTTTCAAAAAATGTGAGCGGTATTGTACTATATGCCCACTGCATAATGACCATGTGGAGGTCCGTATACTTTTCAGGCAACAAAATTTTTTCGAATCTGGCTCCAAACTTTACATAAGAATGCGACTTAGATCCTACGGATCCTTGGTTGCCATTTTGTAGAGCTTGACGTGCCCTATCGAATGATATCGTAAGGTACTAGAAAACAAAAACAGACATTTCAAAAAAGGGATTTACTCTTTGAACTTAATAGAAATAAGCTGGACAATCCTTGCTCTCTAATCTCTTTGCGTCTCGAAGATCACAAGGGTGCTCAAGATTTATAGCACATCTCGTCTCTAAGTACTTACGCAGCATATGAGCATCAGAATTGCAAATTATTAGGGGGAAACAGAACGTATGCATGTAGCTTCCAGATTGCACCAATCAATTGAAAAGGAGGAGCAGTTCATAGTAATAGTTGAGCTTTAATTTAGTTTTCCACAGGAAAATTATGGCTTCTTCTTCTTGGAATATTCGAACAAAATCTTTCAAATTTTAGTTAAATGATATCAAGAAATGTACTTCGTTACAAATGTGGCAGCGAGACTAAAAAATGCATTATTACCAGATAAAGGACAGCAAAAACGTATCAAACTCCAAACAAAGAATCGCCTCAAAACTCTCTCTTGAGATCATTTTATAGAACAGTGGCAGCAATACGTAAAAACAGTTCCCACCTACAATATGTACTCCCTAATAATCGTTCCTCTGGGAAAATTATCGCTATCATAGGACACCTCTAAGAAATTACTAGATGCCAAAGATATATGATGATTGCATGCCATAGAAGAGGAAGGAAACATTTGAAGGATTGGGAGCAGAGAACGCTGAATCGATTGAGCAAAAAGAACGAAAGTGGACGATGACCGTGAAGAGACGGAGCGGAGCCTCGGCAACGGGCTCACTGCCACACTAATGGTGCCCAGGATTTTTCGAAGAGTCTTTTAAACTGCTACTAGATTTCAATGAGTCATGATAATACAGCGAACACGGTGACTCATTAGACTGCCTATTTGAAGTGAACTAATTGAGGTACAAATGAGGTTGTTTTTCGAAGCTGATAGATATCTACAATCATCATGATTGACAGTTTTATGTTTCGGCGTTTCGTATCCACACTCGATTACAAATTGTGAATCAGCTTAAACCTCAAATTTTGATTGACGTTTTTCCGAGCAAACACTATTTCGCATCGAGCCGGATAGAAGCAAAGAAAAAGTGTTTTGAAGCGCTGGTATGCATACTTAGTCAGAAACGGACGATGATTGGAATGGCGTCCAAGACGTCCCAAAATAGCAGATATTGTTCATATAGGGCATTTATCATTCTTTTTAGTAAAACATTGGAAACTGCTGGGCGGCTGAAAAAAAGTTTTCCGATGATTTAGGAAGCTTACCCTTTCCAGTATTGCTTCACAATTGTCATAAACTCGCTTAAGTTTTTGAACTTAACTTGTCCAGTAAGAAAATCCGCCTTTTTCTACGGTCTCCAGAAGACCAAAGGTGACTGAAGAGGTATTACCTTACACACCCGTGTATAGAATGCATAATTCAGGTCCGAGAAATGACTCTCGAGCATTAAAAGCAATACTTTGTGGAAAAAGGTAATCTACTGATCGTGTTATTCGATCGTAAAAGGTGTTGATGACCTTGTATTTTGTACTTTTAATACTCTACAGCTCCTCGAATACGAATTCGTTCAAGAAGGTTATAAAAGCTAGGACTGAAAGATGGAAGAAATTTACAGGAATAATTTACTATTCAAATTAATTTACCATTCAAGAGAACAATGAATAAAGCCCTTGGCTACTAATGAGTTAACTGATTATTAAGCTTGCTTCTCATACCTAAAGTATGAAGAAAAAGGAAGATTCAGAAGTAGTAGGGCATGAGTGAGCGTTTAGTTCTCGCTAAACCAAAATGATTCTTTCAAAAAAGTCTTTACCAGCTATGTTAAAAAATTCTATCTAGCATGATTATCAACAAATGAGATGACACTCAAGAAGTAGCAATAGTATGAGGAGCACAGTAGCATGTAAATTTTTTTCAGCTCTATATACTACAGTCCTCCTATGATGACATCGTGGCAGATATGTGTCATCGCGAAAGCCCAGAAGAAAAGGAATCGGGATTTCTGACTCATTTCACAAAAAGAAAGCACTCTCACGCACAATTCACGACATGCACACAAAGGACGAGAATGGTTTGCGCCAAAAAAACCTTCCTAAAAAAATTTCAAAAATAAACGTAATCGCTGACAACATTTCAGGTAATTCATTAAGCAACATTTCATATCTAATTTTAAGCCACACATCATGTACCTACAGCTCTACCTCATGAAAAATGTCCTCCTGAAGATGTAATGCTTTTATTATACTGTTGACATACTTGCTGTCTTTGCAGTATTTGCATATTTGGCGAAAAACACATTGACTGCTCTGCATTAATTCAATATTCAAAGAAATTTCAAGGAAAACCAAAAAATCAGTTCGCGGCTGATGAAGTAAACTTCAATCACCCAATACTGTACACTAGGAGGAAGCACCAGACAAAAGTTAAGGAATGTCTCGGCCGCAAATACATGAGCTGTCAACTATGTGTTTTTTTCCTTAGAAAAGATCCCCATCATGGGTACTGGGATTCAATGAAAATGCAAGATTAATCTCAGAGCAGTTTCATTGTGGAAAATAGTGGGTCCTCGCTGTTGCTGGGAATGTGGTAATTGATATAGAGTGTTTATACTAGATTTGGAAAACACAATGTAAGTATGGTATTCAGAGGCACGTCCACCCAGAATCTGTTCGCTTCAGATTACTACTTATTCTATAGGTAGGCCCTAAAACTGGACCAACCGCGTTGGTCCGGTCTCCTAATGTTGCTTACAAAAGGAGACAGCAGACCCAATCCTCTTTGCGCTCCGCCCCCTTTTTTGAGCTCCACCCACCCACGGATTGCTCCTGACAGTTCTGATATGACAAGCAACAGCGAGACGCATAGTTTCTTATGTGCTGTTGCACACGACGAGGTTTCCTGTTGCATACAACGTGACTAGCGCAGGAGCACTCGTCCACGTCGCCAAAATAGGGCTTCAAAAAGGGGCAATTTTGGAGCTTTCTGGTAATTTGAATCTCATATTCATGTTCAGCGCTACGGAGAAGCCCTATAACATTGAAGACATGGAAAAAAATTTTGGGTGGACGCTGCCTTTAAGGGCATTTGATAGTGTGCTCGCTGGTAGAGTAGATAATGATAAAGGAAGAGCAGAATACAGGCTCAAGGAGAATGCCAAAACTTTTTTGGTAGTAAACGCAATGATTAAAGCAGAACAAGAATCCGATTTAATGCCATTTGCCGTATGAGCATGGAAAGAGATACAGCATTTGACAGTGAGAATGTTCAATCACAATCTAGCAGAATCTCTGTTGATACTCTTGAAGAAGAAGTACATCATCTTGCATATCTCTAATGTATTCTATCGTTTGGTGGCATCGGCGAAAATGGACTCCAATAATAAAAAGAAAAGTTTTTAATTTACAATGCGTAAATAACCAAAAAGCTCCGTTTTGTTCCTGTCCTTAAACGGAGTAAAAGTATTTACAGAACTCCGGAACTCCTCAGTAAGAAAGGAAGGTTGTAAAAATTATATAAAACCTTATTTTCAATACTGAGAAGTGAGTTTGTTTACAAATAATAAGCATGTATATGAATTTTTTGAAAAGTAAGGTTCCAAAAAATTGTGGAAGTA